CGGGCGGGGGTGCAGGCGAAGGGAACCCAGGCACCGAGGGCTGTGGTGGAGGGGAGGGGCGCCCGGCCACTGGGTTGAAAGCGCCATTGCAAAATTACAACAGATAATGAAAGAGATCTGACCTAACCAACTCCATCTTCCTTCTAACCTCCAAGCTGTCCTTGTTCACTCCTGAGCGTAGGCTGAACTAACTTTGGGAGGAACTTAGTTTATACTTTATAGTTTAAAACAAAGATGATAACAGCCCTTTCTTAAAACAAACCTCCTTCTTGCCTGGGGAATAGACTGTCTTTGTAGGACTAACAAATTAACCACAAGATTAGAAAGTATGGTTTAGGAGTCCGGCAGCTGGAGGCTGCAAGATTCTGACCCTCCCTAAACTGCTCATAAGATCAGCGCTCAAGATATTTTGCAGACCCTGCCCTTGATGGATCAACTGACACCTCCCAGATCGACAAACCGGGTCATCTGATCTTGGGCCCCCACTCGGGAACTAACTTAGCGCAAGAGGACAGCTTCAATTCCCTAAGATTTCATCTCTGACCCAACCAGTCAGCACTCTCCACTCATTGGCCTTTCCCCACCCACCAAGTTGTCCTTAAAAACTCTGCTCCCCGAATGCTCGGGGAGACTGACTTGAGTAAGAATAAAACTCCCGTCTCCTGTGCAGCCGGATCTGTGTGAATTACTCCTTCTCTATTGCAATTCCCCTGTCTTGATAAATCGGCTCTGTCTAGGCAGCGGGCAAGGTGAACCCGCTGGGCTGTTACAGGGTGGCCTGGGGGGGCAGAGGGCTGGGTGCTGGGCGGTGAGGGTCGCGGGGAGCAGAGGGTCGGTGACAGAGGCCTGGGCAGCCAGGGTCTTCCGGGAGAGCCCCGGACCCGCCCCTTAAAGAGGACGGCGACCCCAGGCCGAGACCGCCCTGCGCTTGAGTCCTGGGTCCCGGGTAACAAGACGCAAAGGCACCCTCTATGTCCCCCTCCGCACGTCTGTCTCCCCACTGACTTCTTCGTATCTTTCATTATTCCAAAGAGCGTGGCTGAAAAGTATGAAGGCACGTTCTGAACACAGGTCGCCTTTTCAGCGGGGGTTTGGGGAGCGGTGTTGGATGGGGGAATTGGATGCTGTGTCCTCGGCTGCATTAATTCAGCAATTGTGTTGGACCTTGGGGAAAGGCTCCGGAAAGCCCGTATTCATTTATTCAACAATACTCATTGAGCCCAGTAAATATTTATTGAGCCCAATCTCATATTTGTCGAGCCTCAATATGTACTGATCAAGCTAGGTAATGTGCTGGACCCTGGGAAAGTGGACACAAATATCTTGCCTGTACTGGCTGAATAGGTAATGATGGGGACCCAACATGGGAACACATAAATGTGCAATTTCAATTTTTTTTAAAAAACACCCTCGATAAGAAATCAAAATGTGCAATTTCAAAGTGTAGCAAAGCCATGCAAGAAATGACAGGGCGCCGTGGCTCACGCCTGTAATCCCAGCACTTTGGGAGGCCGAGGCAGGGGGATCACTTGAGGTCAGGCATTCAAGACCAGCCTGGCCAACGTGGTAAAACCCCATCTCTACTAAAAATACAAAAATCAGCTGGGTGTGGTGGTGCACGCCTGTAGTCCCAGCTTACTCAGCAGGCTGAGGCAGGAGAATGGCTTGAATCCAGGAGGCGGAGGTTACAGTGAGCCGGGATCGCACCACTGCACTCCAGCCTGGGCGACAGAGGGCGACTCTGAAAAAAAAAAAAAAAACATGAAATAAAAAAATTACCAGGGGCACATATAGCATGTGGCTACCCTGGAGAGGAAGGGAAGGCCAGATAAGGCCTTAGAGCAGGGGGTCAAATAAAGCCCTAAACATAGGAGGGAGTTTGGTGTGAGGTTTGGGAGGCAGGGATGTTGTGTAACCTTGAAGTCGGGTGGCCCTGTGACCAAGGGGAGAGGGGTGGAGCTTGGAAATCAGCCCACAGAGACCTCCACGGGTCCCATGTTACTGCTTCTAAACCATCTTCTCTGTCCTTTGAGATTTTTGCAGCTGCCTGCCTTGAGGGACCACAGTCACCTCTACGTATAGACAGGCTTTATCCCCATGTGAGTGAGAGGCTTCCACAGAAATCTGCCCAAGGGTCAGTCTGTGGGCATCATAAGGGGAAGGGGCACTAAGGAAAGAGAAGCAAGGGGC